TTTAACATGTATAAAAAGATAAGTTTCCAGTACATTCAAGCTATCTAACGCTCACTCATAACTGTCGCAGTGTCAAAAAATTCAAAATATGAGGTGTGCACAACACAAAATTTTGTTCAAGCTTTGTTATTTCAGACAAACTTTTCAGTTTTGTGGTGAAACCATCTGTATTTAAAATTATTACCGCTTAGGTACTCTGCTCTATTTCTATGTAGCGGCTAGTGAGTACTGATACACTACTACTTATTTATTATTTTGTAACGAGATCATTGTACAAAAAAAAAAAAAAAAAATACTTACAAAAGCACTGTATATATTGTAGCCCAATGCAAAAAGCCATTTTGCTGTGAATCACATTCTCAATTAATATTACTAGTTGTTTAAAGTAGTCATTCTTCAGAAATCTAAAAAGTTCAAAGTTTTATACAAATGGACTGTGCAGTGTACAACATCCACACATTTTCCTAATTTTGACTTATTTTGCTTAAAAGGTTATTATCCGGCAGGATTACTCTGTGGGGTGAAACAATGAAGAGTTTTCTTCAAGGCTTTTAAAAATTGACTCTTATGATGTTAAATATTTGCAAGATAGAAAGAGTGATGTATAAAACCCATAAGAGAAGAAGCAGTATTGATGAACCAATACGCGGGATTGGGGGTCCACCTAATTCAGCTTGACCAAAGAATTTTACATAACGGCGGATTACCAAAATCCCAATTGCAAGAACAGCAACTATGGCAAAAATCATCACACTGAAACCCAATGATCCAGCTGGTACAATGAACTTGGTTCCCTGTGAAAAATAAACAGTATTAGGTTAAAAATAAATAAATAGGGAACCATGATTCCACCAGGTTTGAGGCACAATGAAGTATTTACCTGGGATTGGTGGTAGATGGTAGCAAGTAGCCAAGGTAGTCCAAGACCCAGGAAAACATTCACGGAATTACTTCCATTTATGTTCCCTATAGCACTGTCAGCAGATCGTTCCTGTCGAGCAGCTGAGAGGCTTGCAAATGTGTCTGGTAAAGAAGTTCCAATGGCAACCAAGGTAATCGCTGAAGAAACGGGATACAGATAACCATATTTAATATTTAGAATAGGAAGAATTTGAATTTTTCCAGTAAGTTACCCAACTGAGGGAGGGTAATGTTACCTGTAACATGATCAGGTAGTCCAACTAAACAGCCAAAGATAGAGGCCACATCTCCAATGATAGCAGTCATGACTCCTATTCCAAATAGGGCCAAAATGAAACAAAGCCAGCCACCAAACATAGTGGGTGGTGGTATAAGTGAAAACAATGCCTGGAAAAAGTTAAAATTTGAGATTGTCTTAGTCTGTTTTCATAAATGTTATCATGACATGCGAAATCAGAGTACTGTTCTACCTTCCAGCCAAAGGACACGAAATGAAGCAAAAAGTCAGTATTTGTTGCATTTTCCACATCTCCTCCATTCACCGTGAGAGCATCTTTGATCTGTTGAGACCAAGTGCTGCGGTGTACTCTTATGGCATCAATGTTAGTTTTTGTCAATACCATAAGGTGGTCCACAACGGTGTTGAAAGCTGAAATTAAAAACCGTTACATGTTGAGCTACTTTTATTTAGGTTGCATGTTTTGTGAATTATTTTAGACCACTAGTATTTTCTACAAGCTTACCATCATCATTTGTTATTGTGATGGCAATGCGGTTGATGTTACCGATCTTTGCTCCTCCAGAAGGCTCAAACAACTCAACTTCAAAATGCTCATCTTTTTCTGGTTCCATATCATCAATAATTGGTATCTCTATGTCTTGTTGAACCTATTTAGCAGGAATAAGGAATTGTCAATATTCTCATTTTGATCAAAATTGGTTACAAGTAGATGGGAAATCTCACCTCATAATGTTTGAACACAAGTTCTCCAGAGCCACCCTTGAAATCTCTACCACTGATTGCAGAACGATCAATAGTCCTCCATTTCACACCAATCTCACCAGATGCTCCTCTACGTCTAACAACAGTTACCCTCACAAAACCTGAACTCTCCTTCACTAGCATTCCTCGTTTTTCGAATGATATTATGCCTGGATCTGCAAAGTTTACAGTTTAAGTTTTAATGCATGAATACCATAAGCCAATCATTTTTGCTCTAAATGGGTTGATTTTCAATTACCGTCATCATCAAGAATAGTGACTTCCATTATTGATATTTTACCAAGTTCTACATTGCCATTCACACTGTCCAAAATGGTGAGCTTCAGGAAAAATTCCTCAGTGGGCTCCCACTGATTATCATCCAAAATTTCAACTGTGACCTGAATTAAGAGACGTTTCATTTAATTTTCATATCACAAGAGAATGGTGTAATGAAAAGGATATTTTCTGAATTACCTGCTTGTCGAGTTCATTAGGCTCAAAAATCAGGGTTTCATTAACTGCAACGTAGTCTTTACCGACCTCTGCTGATCCGTCAATCGATTCAACCCTGAAAATAATAAAATTGAAAAATGTAGAATGTTACCGATAGATCCTGTAACATGGGAAAACCCAACTTACTTTACTTTCACAGTTCCCTCTAGGTTGCCGTGTCGCCAGACGTTGACGTGGAACTTGCCGATACTCTCCCGCACCGCCACCGTCGCGGTGTGGAACTCAACGATGGCGTTTGTGGAGTCGGGCACGCGGACTTCCCCGATGTTGGGTGCCTTGGGGTGCTCGTTGATGGCCGAGTAGACCTCGCGGAGGCGGCCAGAGAGTTGGGGCTGCAGGCGCCGCGAACCGGAGAGGTTGCGAACGGCCCCGATGCGGTACCACATCTTAGAGTGGGGTTGAGCATCGTTGACCCTGGACAAGGACCGACATGCAGTTAAATCTCGGGACGTTTGCGTACAGGGCCTCACGACACTGCCGAGGCACACACAGGCCCTCACCCCCGCAGGACTCACTTGGCAGCGGCGAGCAGGGCCGCGTCCTCGTTGGTCAGCCCCGGGAACTTGCGCACCTCCCTGATGAAGGCCACGAGGCTGTCCTTGTCCAACTTGCCGTCGCTCAGCAGGTTCCTCTCCTGCACCATCTTCTCCGTCTCCCCGTCCTGTGGCTGCATGGGGCCGAGCTCGAGCTGGCGCTTGTTCCCGCGCTGCCGGGCGAAGCCGCACCAACCGCGATCCGCGCTGTAGGCCACCGCGGTGAGGGCGGGGAACAGCAGGAACGTGACGATGGCCTCCCACAGCTCCACCTCGCCGGGCGACACCACCTTGAGCACCACCAGCAGCCAGATGTAGGCCAGGAAGCCGAACAGGGATGTCACCACGAACACCTGGAATGAAAAAGCGTCAGATCACTCTCCGCGCGATTTATTCGTTCGATTCACAAGTGCGTGGGCGACGACGCGGAGCGCCGTCCCGGGCATGCCCACTACGTGCTGGTTGGGAACTCCACGTCGTGTCGCCCACCAGGCGGCCGCCATCCCCGCGTCTCCCGCTTCCCTACCTTGATGCGCGCCACGCGCTTCGTCTCGCCGGCCACGCCGCACATGCAAATGGCGGTGATGACGAGCAGGTTGAAGGCCGCCGAGCCCACGATGGTGCCGGGCCCCAGCTCCCCCGCGTTGAAACCGTTGCCGACGATCTCCACGATGGCGAGCAGGATCTCGGGCGCCGAGGTGCCGAGCGCCATGAGGGTGAGGTTGGCCACCGTGTCGTTCCAGACGCGCACCTCAATCACCTCGGGCTCGTCCTCGCGCAGCCCCGCCACCACGCCGCCCACCGAGCTGTAGCTGCCGTTCTGCGGGCAAGTCTGGGGTCACAAACAAGTCACCCGTGTCGCTCGCCGGGGCCTCGCCTCGACACGACGCGACCTACCGTCTTGGCCCGCTCCTTGGCCATGAACACCTTGCGCGTCTTGCTGGTGATGCTCTCTATGGCCGCCATAAAGATGTCGGTGACGATGGCCACACCCAGGAACAGGTAGAGCAAGGCGAGGAGGTAAAGCGCGCCGCGCACCTCGACTCGCCATCCGGACTCGTCCAGGAAGGGCAGCAGCAGGCCACTGGAACATTGGTAGCCGGACGACGCCGAAGACGACGCCGACGACGACGAAGCAGACGACGACGAGAACGTCGCGTTTGTGGTCGCCATGCCTGTGAAAGAACAATGAGAAATGAGTTAATCTCTGGGTTACCTCCGCCTTGTCTTGCAGGCGGCGTGACGTTGTGGCCGCCTATCGGGTGATGTCACGGGTGATGTCAGAGCGGTGTCTCGGCCGCCACACCTTTCTATATCCCCCCCCCCCGGACATTTCCTGCGGCTAAGGTGCCTCGCCTCTGCGGGAAGATATCTCGCTGCCTCGCGGTGCGCGGGCGAACCGTGTCAAAACTCCCAGGGGAAATATAGCGGTGCCCCGACCATGCCCCGCGGCGGGGTCGCCTGGGTTGGGCATAGCCACCCTCGCCAGGGTGCCCAGAGCCATGACAATAGAGAGCAGGGCGCATGCATGCAACGAGATGAGGTCGGGTCGGGTCGAGTCGGCGTCGTGATCGGCGACCCTAACGACCACGATCACGATCGGGCCTCTTGCACACGACCGTTCGGAGCGGCCGGCGCGGCGGTGCAGCGTGCACTGCGCTCCCGCCCCCCGCACCGAACAAGTCTCACCGTGTGAATAGCACGGGGGCTGCTGCGCTGCGATCGTATGGCAGACACCACCGGCGAGCCGTGCCCCCCTCCCTCACGTCAAGCGGCAGCGTACTCCCTAGAAGGACCTATCGTGGCGGGGAGCGGTAGGGTGGTGGCATAGCACTGCGGCCGCGGACCCCGCAGCACCGCCGCCGGGGCCGGAGGTGGGCCTGCAGCCTGCATAGCTGGGCCTGCAGCGGGTGCCGCATGCAGCGACCGCGCAAACCATCGCATCATCGCATCGCACATAGCTGTGCGCGGCCTGCAGCCTGGCCTGGCCTGCCCCGGGGCGGGGCCTGCTGCTCGCGGTAAATACAGGAAAGCTGGGAGGAAAAGCACAGGGCTGCGCGCTCTGCGCCGCTCGACTCCACGCGCCCGGCGCGGCCTGCAAAGCCAATTGCGCCGCAAAAGTGCTGGGAGGGAGAGCACTGAGTGCAGGGCTCCGCGGCGGCGCTCGCATCGCCTCAGACCGCAGTGCGCTGCCCGCAGTGGGTCGACGACCCGAACCGCGAACAAGGATCTGGGCCTGGTCAAGCTAGCAAGCGCCGCACTATAGGCAATTTGCTGTGAGCAATGCGTAGCTGTTGGGCGGGCGGCCTACGCTTAGCGCCGTGTGGTAGGCAACCCAGCGCGCGGCCACGCTCCGCGGTCCGGCGGGTGGCCCACCCCGCCAGGCTGAGAGGCTCTGGCCAGGCCAGGCCCCGGACGGCGGCTGGCGGGTGCAGGATGCTGGTGCCGGTGCAGGGCTCTGACCCGCGTGCCTCGCCCACCGCCTGGCGGGTTGTGGTGTCCACCCGGGCCCGGGCCAGCCAGCGACATGTTGTAAAGAGTCTCGCGCTATGAGGCCCGTCGCAACCAGGTGCCCTATAAGGAATCCGGCTGGGGCGCATTCCCCCGCAGCGTCGGAAACGCCACGGCGGCCGGCAGAGCCTGCAGAGCCTCCAAATGGACAGCAAATTACCGATCCGACTTGCAGCGGCGACAGCAACAGCCCCGCAGAGGACCTGCGGCGCACGACACGGCGCTCGCTACCTGCCCAGCGGGGCCGAGCAGCAAGGAGGCAGACGGCTAAACTAAGATACGCCTTCGCCATGTTTCCGAGAGCCTCTTCCTCGGCCATGCAATGCAGGTGGCATTCCAGCGCTCTGTGGTGCGGCGTGGCGTGGCGTGGCGTGGCGTGGCGTGGCGTGGTGCGGCGTGGCGTGGCGTGGCGTCCCGTCTGGACTGGACCGACCCACGCACGCTGCCCCCGGCTGGCCCCGCCGCGCCGCGCCGGGAGACGACACAACTTGATCGCCGGGGTCCTCTCAGACCCTCCCACTGGTGCTGCTCGGGCCGCGCTGGTACCCGCACACAGGACACCTCCACGCCACGCCGCGCCTCGCGATGCGCACCGCGTACTCACCATCGCGTCCAAGCGCAACGACCCACCCCGCCCCTTTCCTGCCGCACGGCGGCGCCCGCCCCGCCCCCTCCCAGCCCCTCTCCTCTCCCTGCCTGCCCCGCCCTTCTCTTACCCTCTTCCAACTCGAATGGGAGATTAAGGTCTAGGCGGGTCGAGGCGGTCACACGGCGCGGCGGCGACACAACCAGCCACGTGTAATTATTTCCTTTCCTCGTTCCTTTCTTTTCCCCCGTTGTTAGCTAGGGAGCAGGCAAATAATGTCGCCGCAATGTTCTTCGATGAATAAATTCTATTCTTGTCTAATATTTACCTGCATGTGCGCTGACTCCGATCGTCCAATTTGAAGAGGTCCTTAGATCCCACCTACGTCCTTCGCCTCTCGCTTGTTTGAGGTGAGGCTACTCCTCTCCTTAGAACCCTTTTGTGTGCTGCACAATAGCGCTCCTTACTTTTTCCACCCGCCTCCCCCATTCCCCTAACCCGCCTCTTCCTCGTTTCAATTTAGAGCCCCCTCTTCTATGCCACGGGTCCTATCACCTCACGTAAGAAAACAACAAAGCAGGAGAATGAGCCCGTTAATACACACTTCCAGAGAAGTCGATTTGCCCGGACCGTGAAGGTTGGTACATGATACACGGCGCTGCGCGCCTGGGCGTCCGAGCCCTTGATAGAGAAGGATATAAAAAGAGAATACGGAGAGAATTGTTAGGGCAGGGGGGAGGGGAGGGGGCGTAGTGCGCTCTCACTGTCCCTAACTCAATGGGCAGCACCGTCACTGCTCCACGAGGAAAGACGAAGGTCGAGATGGCGGCAAGGCGGGCCAGTTCGGTGACCCGGCGTCCTGCTGGAAGAGGTGCGGGCTCCAAGGGGGGGCACCTAGGGGAGCACGGACACGACCATCAACCCCCTCTTCCAGCGGGTTGCGGGTGACCCAGCGGTGTGGGGCGTCGTGGGGCGCGAGTGTTGCAGTTTGGCTGGTGCATTCCCTCTCCGCTCCGTGGTGACTGTGATGCGCCCAGCGCGCTGCTCTCTAACGATCCTAACGATGACCAACCCCCACCTAGGCGGCGCCGTGCTGCCGTGCTGCCCTCCCCAGGCCCTGCGCGGGCCGGGCACTCAGCTTATTACCCTTATTACAAGGTAGGCCGGCCATACCAACGGCGTAGTAAGGGTCGACGGGGAGAGGAAGAGAAGGGGTGGGGGGTGCGTAGAGGAAGGAGCCTAGACGTTTTTTTTTTTAAAATCTCAAATTGACTACCTTTCAGACGTCTATCAAGGGCCAAGCCCTGCAGGTAGACGAACGTTAAAACGGTGAGAAGCTGAGATAATTGTGCATCTACGTTAGCCTTCGGCGCCGTTAGATTCAAAATGTATGTTAACAATTTTAAACCAAAGTTTAAAATCCCTATGCTGCCCTCAGTCGGGGCCTTTT